GAGCAAACTGTTGCTTTTGTTGCGCCGCGGCCACGGTTTTGCGTCCGAAACGCGACTCGCGGATTCGAAGCGTTTGATCCGTGGCAAAAAAGATGGGCCCCGGCGTGGAAGGTTCGCGACAGGGCTTGATTTATGCATCGAATAAACCATGTCGCTGGGGTGTCGCTTTTTTGCCACCGGTGACGCTTTCGAGAGATCGCAAAGCGGGACCAGTGAACGATGAGGCAGGAATTGTCCGTGGTGTTTTCCAATCGAATCAATTTTCTTCAACGTCTCGCGCAAACGATTTCGCAGAAAGTCAATCCAAGTCCATTCTTCCTAAATTAGTATCAAGAGTGAATTTGAAGGGATGTCTTAACGAAGGGATGTGATTAATGAAGGGAATAACGAAGGGATGAGTAAAGAATGAAAGGCAATTACATATTTCGTGTAATACAAGTGTGGAGGTCTTCCCTTACGGTTATTGTCGTCTGGTCGCAGATATCTTTGATGTAGGAGTGGTGCTAGAAGGGATGAAACGAAAAGGAAGGGTTGCGTTTCGTCCTGGGTTTGCTAGTGGACCCTCTCTACCTAGCAGACCCTGCCTTAGACGGGGATACTATTGAAAAGTTTGAAAATTCTATATATAGGGAAACGGAGGACTTCAAAGTAGGAATCCATCTATTGGCGAAGGTGAGAATGATGTCGCCACACAAGCTTTATTACGCGAAGGGGATGGTACAGAGGACACGGTGTCTATCTTCCAAAAGCTTTGTCCTGTACTCTAGTCGCGAACCAACTATCTTCTTTCGGGGCCTAACCTAAAAGTTCGAGGTGGTCCGTGTGTCTACGAGTCATGGGGCGCTGGTCTTAAAGACGTGTAGCGACCAACGTTCACACCCTTACTGCTAGGTCTCGCAAGTCCTCGGCAAATCCTTGACTCACATAAATATAAAATTCCTATGCTAGTATAGGATATGTAAATATCCTCCTAAGTATCCCCGTCTAACGCAGGGTCTGCTAGGTAGCCTTACTGACGAGTCCATTAGCAGTCCCAGGACGAAACGCATCTTTTCCTCGCGTCCTTCTACCTGCTTACCTGTCCTAGTACGACGGCCATCAGGATACCATCCGACAGCACGTAGGAACCACAGGACTATCATAATCCCCGTGGTAGGAACCCTCACACAGAGATAAATCAGCCCTCCTCCCCCCATTGACTTAGAGGCCTAGATGTCTTTAGAAGTGGAAACAATATCTCTAGGCTTTCCTTTTCCGCTTCGACGGATGCTTCCCTATAAATTATTTTTGATTAGCTATCGTTAAATCAAGGAACGTAGTAGTAACGATAAAATCCCTTAATCCGTCTTTTTTCACGGCTTTCGATTTCTCTCTATTCAAAACATGGCAAGCGAGAGGAACTTCGATCCTGTTCTTTCGCTAAGTCAATTTTATACAAGTTCCGTCTGTGTCCGTCCCATTTACGAAAATCTAAAGACAGTCTCTGTGGAAGAACCAATCGCTTCGATCTACTTCAAACTTCCATCAATTTCGAAACAAAATAACTCGTTTTCGCAAGCATACCCGCTTCTTTGGGACCGTTGAAGGGAAAAAAGATACATAACGAATATTGTTAGAGGTTAGGTTTGGAGGTTAGGTTTGACATTAAAATTCTTGGGAGCTATCACAACGAGAAGGGGTCGAATTTGGGGGGTTGGAAATATCTGAGAGGTCCGAGTTTTGACTATGTCATGAGAACTGGGCAAGATGTTCACGATTTTCATATAAGGGAGGTTAGGTTTGACATTAAAATTTTTGGAAGCTATCACAACGAGAAGGGGTCGAATTTGGGGGCTGGGAAATATTTTGGAGATCCGAGTTTTGGGTACTGCATGAGAACTGGACAGGAAGTTGACGATTTTCGGATAGGGGAGGTTAAGTTTGACATTAGGATTCTTGGAGGCTATCACAAATAGAAGGGAGCGAATTTGGGGGGTTGGAAATATCTCGGAGGTCCGAGTGCTGGAGATCAGGGTGCGAGGAAAGAACGCGCGACTATCCAAGCTTTCGGATGAACGTGACTGAATGTACCTCGGGAATGTTCGCGATCTTGTCCAAAGTCGAGGGAAGGAGACTCTAAAATGACAACAGGGTAGCGGTATGAACGTGTATGAACGAACGTTGCGTGGAAGATGCGCGTGTACCTTTAAATGTCATCGAGAGCGAAAGTTTCCTATTCCAACTCCTCATTTCACCGAGTTAAGTCATTTCGTCGAGTCCTATCGCAACGCGAATTAATGTCCAATCGTTACACGTTCGTTTGTACCTTCGACACGTGGGACTATCCGTCGCCGCCATTCCGTCACGCGAGTGACGATTAACGAGGAAAATTGCAATGCGACGGATTGCATGAAAACAACGTTCCTCGGCCTCTGCAACCCCTTGGATGTCGTCCGAGGACGGCTAAAAAGTTGGTTTAATTATGGTTGGCAATTAAAGGATGATAACGGCGCAGAGGGGGATGATCGGGCGCTAGCACGGCGCGAAGACGAGGAAAAAGGGAGCAAGGCAGGAGCGTAAACAAGGGGAATGCAACGTGGGGGTGGCAGGCACGGGGGCGAAGGGGCGATATACGCTCATGCGCGCCTGGAACCCCGCCCTGTCGCTTCGGACGAAAGCTTGTCCCGTCGAGGACTCTCGGTCGAGTTTCGACGAGTAGTCACGCTTTAACTCGCGATCCGCGAGGCGGATGCTACCCGGAACGCGAGTCACAGGTGCAGGTGTGCCCGATGTAACACACGAGCATAGAAAGCTGGTCTAGCTCCTGCACCCTGTGCCGGAGATCCGTCGCGTGACGCTGCCAGGGACGTGGTTTTAGCCGGTGATAAAGCTCCAGGAGACAGGTGCAGGTGTCAGGTGTCGCAGGTGTCGAGGTGTTTCGTATGCGGGCTAGATCTGTCCCTTCGCGCTCCCTACGCGGCTGGTTAGGGTAGTCGTTGCCTTGAACACTTGTGGATCGAAGCAGCGGGAGTAGCAACGCGGTGACAGGTGTATTTTAACGCGGTGGTAGGTGGAAGGTGTGGGAAGATCGAGGATTCGTGGATCCTACGAGCAACGGGATATCGCTGGCTTGGATATGCGTCTTTGGTTGTTCGAATGCTCGAGGTAAACAACGGTGTGGCACCGATCGAGCGAGATTTCTAGGTCAACAGGCAGTGGCCAGAGGCAACCAGTTGCGGGTGTAATCGTTCTTGTAACCGAAGCCAGATACGACGGTCTTTGTTGGCTGAAACGCGAGAAGGAAAAAGAGGGGATCGTGGATCGTTCGCGTTAATCTAACCGGACGAATAAAAGTTCGAGACCTGGGCGGGAGGATTTATCCGAGAGTCGTGGAGGAAATAGCGGAGGAGTAGCTGGAAGAGAAGACGGTCTGTCGTTCGTTAAGGTCGCGTCGCTCGCGATCGGATTTCCTTGATTACGGTTACGGTATCGACGCCAACCAACACCGTGTCTTTTCCGTTAGACGAGGAGAGAAGAAAACTTGGATCAATCTTGGACAAGCGACACCGTGTTATCCTTTGTCCTCGCACAGCACCCGACTCCTGTTGATTATAAGCGCTAATGGCAACGGCGGTTCATCTATCATCCACTTCGTTAGCTGGAAAGATCCTTCAGGAGACGATTATGTTTGTCTGCTCGATTTGTTGATCGAAACGACGAAGAGGCAAAGCCGAGGAAAAAGCAAAGGCGAGCAAAGCGTGTGGTTGGCAGCCAGAGCTCTGCCAATTGGATCGGAGGAACGATTAGTCGATAAAGCTACATCGCGTTCTCGGAAATTCCTGGCGATATTCGTCGATTAGAAGAGAGTGTTCCCAACGAGTGTATGAATATTATCAGGTCTAGTCGAGGATCCGGTTGGTAACGATCCTCTAAAGTGTCGTCGATTACGCGATAGAATCGAGCGATAATTATCTATCTGGGAAGACGATCCGTAGGTGTACTTAGCGCACAGATAACGGCCTTGAAACTTTTGCACGCGGATCGGAATCGGACGAGGTAGCGAGATGCTCTATGCCCGACAGCGTGACTACAGCTAAAAGGTCGTGATCGATCGACTTACTTCGATGGCCTAAAAGAACTTTAAACGTGCAAGGTCATTATGCATAGCGATAAAACGGGGACGTTGTAAAGTGCAGACAAGTCGGTCGGTTCGTTCGATTGGTAGAACCGACAGTGACTGTATCATTCGGAATAACCTGACCTATTCCATCGTCTGTATCGAAGAAGCCAGTAACGTGTGAACGAAAAGGCAGCACCCAGCATTGGGCCAGGCGAAATGACGCGATAGCGGGACACTCGCTGAATCGCGCGATGTCGTGTCAAGGATACTCCAACGATCAGGAACGTACTGGCATTCGCGAAATGTGCCACGCCGATCGCGAGATCTCCCTCCATTTCTCAGAGAGTTTCTATGAAACTTCACAGGCATCGTCGCGTTTGGCGGAGCGGCGATAACGGAGGATCGCTTTGTCGGGGTCCAGGTTGCTGTTGGATCACGGTGCCGGATTTAATTCGCTTTGAAAGCCGAAAGCAACGCGTCGGACTAACAGGAGCAACGAAACCGTAGAGCAAGCGCATTGTTCGTCCTCGCATGATCCTGAACGGTAGATCAACGGCAAAGGAAGATCCACTTGGATATTCTCGCTAATTAAAGCATCGGCAACTAGCGCAACGGTGCCGAGCGAATGTTCGCGACATGCTGCAACTCGCTAAATGAGATCTCCTAAGCGAACAGTTGATCGAACGATCCAGAAAGCCGCTACTTGTGCCCCATGCGAGAGGAGGCTCGACGGTCGACCTCGCGATCGAGCAAGCCCCTGACCCCGTAGTCACCAGACAAAAGCTGCCTGGCCGGCACTCGATGAGTCCTAGCGAAGATAAGGATCCTCGAGCACTCTCGATCGTTTGCCTGGAACGCCTGAAGAAGCTCCGGTTGGCACCTATCTGAGAGCGGTTGGGTGATGCGCGGGAGCAGCTCTGAGCTCCTGCTGGAGGCGAGCTGCGTCCAGTGTCAGAGCGATCATCACGCCGGCCAGCACACCACCAGGCATCAGCAGCAGCATCAGCTGAACGAGAAACACGACTTCCAGGAGCGAGAGCTACGTCGTCGCAAGCTGTTGGAGCTCGGGTTCGGCGCTTCGCGGCGCCGACCGCCACGGCGTACCTGCCGTCAGCGGTTCAACTTTTACGCCACCTCGGCGTTGGCCTTCGTCGCGACGTCCGGCGGCGCGGCACTGCTCTTCCTGGTGCCGCTCTACGTCGATCCGGCCATCAGCACCCTGGCGGCCGATTTCTCGCCGGATCCGGTCATCTGCACCACCTCCAGGCGAGAGGAGCTCGCTGGCCTGTTCAATTGCACCTGGAGCTCCTGTCGAGAGGGCTGTACCAGTGACGTTTACAGGTGTACGCATATATACGTCACCTATACGCCATGGAGCAACGCGAGCATGAAGAACGATACCGGGGGTAGAGGGAGTCTCGGCAACTCTACCGGCGTCGTGCATACCTCCACTACTTCCGGTAAGAGTCATTTCTTGCTGCTCACTCATCGCCTCTGTTCTGGCTTACGGTTCAGCACTATTTACTGGTGGTTTCGTGTCGTTTTCGTTCGCGATTCGTTTTCACCGATGGGCTAGTGTTTCAGGTATTCTTCTGTTCAATCGTGTGGATTTTTGTGCGACTTTTAATCGTTTATCTATTTAACGAGTTCGTGTCGTGGACGAAGTGTGGATGCATCGTGAGTAGAATTATTCGAAATAAAGGAGAAAGTGTTAAAGAGTGGTGGTTTTTTGGAAGATGGCGAAAGTTGGGGTGAGAAGCTTGGTGGATAGCAGGTGGATCTTCCTAATGGTGCTTTCGAGAGATTATTTCTTTATCCACTTTCTCACCGTTTCTGATCTAGTCGCAGTGGAAACGAAATTCGACGTACCTTTCGTTTTCGATTATATTTCGGAATTTTCAAAACGCGCGCGAAAGATTTGACTTTGGATGCTTAGATACGCGAAGTTTCTTTTTTCCGCGAAGGTATTACGCGACCGTCCTTCGAAGTTGGTGCACCGTGGATGCTTTTAAATCTTATTAAATTTTTCCTCCCGTGTTCGAACAGACATCTCGAAATGTTACTGCTTTCGTGTAAAAAGTTTTCTTATATCTGTTCTTCTAGTTGACGAGATATATCGGGATACATAAAAATTGTACGAAGTTCCAGGGATGGTTACTCTTTCTCAGAGTGAATCTCTGCGGGGAAAGGATAGTTTGTGTCCTATAAAGTTTGTTGACGCGACAGCTTGTAATTTCGGATACGATTTTCATCGGTGTATTCTCACCGTGTATTTAACTTCAAAGTTACCTTCGTTGTATATCCCAGCTGTAAACTTTTAAATACAAAATCCCGTTTTCTTCGTTACGTGGATTTATTTTCTGTCCGAGGTTATGTTCAAGAATTTTAGCTGCTTGGCATTGTTTAAATCGAAATTTCTTATTTCTCTTCGTTATTATATTATAATATCTGAGAATTGTATCGTGAAAATCTAAAGTACTCTATTTGAACGAATATTATCGATGTTATCTCATCGAGTTAGTATAAAACCTGTTCTCGTTCACTGAAAATCGACTAGAGAGGTCTCTGTTTTTGTTCGATTGTATCGCCTTGTAATTCACCGATTTCCGCTTAGTAATGGCGCTGAAAGACTTTAATTCGATATTCACTGTGCTGAACCAGTAACCTCCGATCAGTGTTTCCTAAACCCGTGATGAAACTAAAATTAGTTCGCCAGAAAATCGCGAATTTACGTGTACGTAGATTAATTTGTCAAAATTTGTATCACCGAGAAAGTTAATTAATTTTTGTTCAAAGCATTTTACACGAGACAATGAAATTTATGGACTTTATATTTCTGAAAGAGAAAAGAAGGAAAAGAAAAATTGTACAAGTTAATCATTCGATTCTTGATTTTAACGTTTGTTGAAATTCGAGGCTTGATCGATTTCTAGCGTTTTCTCGCATCGATATCGGAGTTTCAATCGTTCTACATACACGTACATCTTCTATCGAATCTGTGTATCGAGTTTCCGTGCTCTGTGTGAGACCCGATGTCGGTATGTGTTATTTATATACCAGCAGAAGGCGAAGCTTTAACCTTTGCACTCTGAGAATTTTTCAACTCTATCGATTGACAATCCCAATGCACTTTTGCATCGAGACGTCTCTCGAAATCGGTAATTTCTTCGTAAAAAGAAAAATTTGAGAGTATTAGTCTATGATCGTCTCTGTAATGGCAATGGAGTGCAAAGGGTTAACTAATCATGTTTCAGCTGCCAGGTTACGACTCTGTCCAGGTCCATCGATCTTAGCCTTGTAAACCCAGTCCCGACGACCCTTGACATACCGATCCCGGATATACGACGATCCTAGACTCCGTGACAGTCCTTTGAAGGACGGAACGGAAATTCTTAACGTCACCAGACACTTTCGTTTTCGACAGTGCCGACGCCAGGCGACGTGGAGGCGGTGCTCCTGGTGAACATCAAAGGCTGTGGCTATCCGCCGATCGTCGACTGCGAGAACTTCACCCGCGAACTGGGCTACGAAGGCGCGAAATTCCCCTGCCATTACAGCCGCGTGAACGGCAGCATAGTGATGGCGAACTATAACCGCGAGGCGCAGGTCACCACCATCATACACTTCTTCGCGGCTCCTTTCGTAGTGACTCTCGCGACCAGCGTCGCTCTGTGTGTGATGCACTGTGACTGCAGGTGCAGTCCACCGCCACGGCATTCGTCGCGTGGGATGAGGAGAGGCAGGGGCAACGATCTCAGGTAACGTGCCTTTAGTCGTCGATGAACATTGTCCCCGATATGTGTCTGTCTAGTTGATTCTAGTCGGCTCTAGTCGATTTTAGTTCCGGACCGGCTCGCCGATTCGCCAAGTAGTGCCCAAACGTCCGGGCTGTCTGGGTCTTAGGAAGCTTTGGGTGGGTGGCAACGACTGCAATGTCGGCGGTAGATCGCCGAGCGTTTTATTATTCATCCAGCCAGTCTTTCAGCTACACGTTTCCTCGGTGATCAACGAAGACGTGGGATTTTTCCGATTTTTCTTCCTCGATCGTGTCTCACGATCGCAGAGGGAGACTTGCAGGGTGCTAGGTCTGAGAGTGTCACGGGGTTGGACTCAAAGTCCGATCTCTGTTTTTTTAAGTGTATTTGGAAAAAGGAGAACTTTTCTAATAAAAAATGCTTAACTTCTCTTTAAATCTTCGAAAAACATTGTTAGAACCTCAATCGTTGATTTTCCTTCAAGTCATACCGAATAAAAGAATTACTGCACGCGTTACACTTTACGTGCACGTGAACTTTCGTTAAAATCGGAATTTCTTGGTTAGAGAATTCTTTTGAAATATGGCGTTCGAATATTTTCTAGCTACTGTAGGTTTGAGAGCATTGACCTCTTATATACAACACGACGTGTGACTCGAGGCAAGGAAATCGAGCCAAACACGGGTTTCATGGACGAGGCATGGTGCGTGGATATAACGTAAACATAAGCTCGGACAGGCTCGAGGTTCGTTCTCGCAAATGTTTTCCTGCTTCAGTTGCGTGTTATTCTTCGTAGTGTTCGGACGAGGTGACTCGACGTGTGACTCTGCTGTTGATTATGGCACCCGGCATCGCAACTTAGATCCCGAGACAAGGTATTAATTTGTAGAATATTAAATTGAAGGGAATATCGAATTAAAGGGGAGGTTAAACGTGTGCACATGCACGTACATTTGTGCGTGGCAATATCTCGGGAGAGTTTGCGAGAAAAATGGGGCTGTGGAGTATTTTCGTTTGAAAAGAGGTTTAGTCTTTAAGGGGACTTGCTTTGGAAATTATGAGGTAAAATGTTGCTACATGGAATACGAGGCGGTTTATTAGCGCAGGTTCTCAAACAAATCTGGCCGAGGTATATATGATTGTTCAAACATCAAGATTACACGACTAGTTACTATTTGAAGCATGTCGTGCATAAATAAGGGTAATGATTACTTGTAGAATGGAGAATAGTAAAGAAGTAATGATTACTTCTAGAATGGAGAATAGTAAAGGTATTTTGCATATATGACGGTAATTTTTCCCTTTTCGTACGAAGTTTAACGAGAGTTATTCGCGTTACTCGGATTTTCGTAATTGAATCGTTTCGAAATCGGTTTACCAATTTCTATTGAAGGGATGATGTGGTATTAACGAACGATGGCACTATTTCGCGTTAATACAAGCTTTATTACGCGAGGGGGGCTGGTACAGCGGATACGGTGTCTTCGAAAAGCTCTGTCCAGCACTCTAGTCGCCAACGAACTGTTTTTTCCAGGGCCCAGCCCAAATATTCTAGGTGGTCTTCGTGTCCGCGAATCATGGGGTGCTGGTCGTAAAGACATACACCAGGCGCCCATTGACTTGGGGCCCTCGATGTTTCTAGGAGCGAAAACAAATGTTGGTTTTCCTTTTCTGCATCGACGGATGCGTTCCTACAGTATATTAGAATAGAACCGTTTAAATTTTGCATTAAATAGTATTTCTCGTTAATTTTTCTGACACTACTCGGTATTTTCATTTCTTTTTATTTGGGATATTAATAATTTATAAAATAGTTGATTCAGTGCATTGTTACTACATGTAATCGCTTCATCCGTTCTCTATTTCGCTTGGGTGTCCAGCTTCTAACGTTCGCGAAAACGTGACGGGAATTCATTTGATTAAATCCTTCGATTGGTAAACGTCGGACGAGAAACCATCAAACTGTTTCGTTCGGTTAAACGCGAGAAAAAAAAGAATTCCCTTATAAAGGGCATCGATCGGATCGCCGTTAGTGATTGAACGTTCGATTTGGAATTTCGTCGACCTACTGGCTTTACTGCGACGAGAAATCGTGATCGTACTCTCGATGAAGCTGGCTACGGGCAAAAGGTAAAATACGAAAGTGTTTCTTCATTAGAAGAAAATTGGCCAGTCAGTTTTCGAAATAACTTTTATTTGACAATGAAGGGAATGAAGGTCGATCACATTTTAACATTTATGCGTCGTTAACGTTTTATTCTATCGATTATCCTTTCATTATTTTTATAATTTTGTACGTCTGTCTTGCGAAATGAACAAATATCGACAGTATTTTAATAATTTCCAAATTTACAGAAATTGTCTTTTAACCCTTTGCACTCGAGAGATGGATATTAATTAATATATCAAATTTACAATTACCCAAAGATGCATGAAATATCGAAGTAAAATAATTCTGCGTCTTAATTTGCATATGATTTCTTATTTACCGTTTTAGAAATATCGTCCACTTTACGGCAGAAAGTTTTCGAATTACTATTTTCCTGTAACGAAAAAATCGCCGAATGCAAAGGGTTAATTATTCCACGTTTAAATTTTTCTTTAATTTTCCTTTTAATTATTCCTCGTTTAAATTTTCCTTAAATTTCTTGTATAGAGGTATGTGATAGTAGATAATAGATTTATTATTATATTCAATAGATGGTATATATATATAGAATATATAATATAGAAAAATAGTACATTTTTCTCCACTTTTGTAAGCGATATGATAGCCACAGACCGATATCAACAAAACGCGTTCAAAATTATTAATTTTCGCGTATGAAGCTGATCAGGAAGATTGGAAGAATCGGAGACGGTCCTTCAGACAGCATTCGAATTTCAAAAATGCTCTGTTCGCTCCAAAAACACGGGCGCTCTGTGCGCACTTGCGTAGTTGCATATTTAATAACAAAGATAGGAGCTCGCCTTTCATTTTATCGCTGGTCCACGCGCGCGCGCGTTATTATGCGGTATCGCGAAAAAAAAGAGCACTCAGGGGCCCGCTTTAAAGCTCGAGCCTACTCCATTACAGGCCACTGCGTCACTGAGGCCACTTTCCGTATCTTTCGACTTTTCCACGCGCTTTTTGATGGATCTCCGTCATCCCCGAAATTATTCTCTGCATACCGCCCACGCGTCCACGTACCAGTTCCGCGAATGACATTTATTAAATACACAGAGTCAAAGATATCATCGGTTATTAGCGAATTTGGAAACTGCAAATCGGGGACGAAGAGAATATTTCTCAACCTCGCATCGCATTGCCGATGAATAGACTTTTAACTTTCAAACTACCAAAATCGTTCGTTGATACATAAACACGTATGCATACCTAAACACTGTTTAGTAGACATAGTCTGGGAGTAATTTTTATCGTAATATTCAAAGCCACGAGCAAACGCAATCCCAAAACCCTGAGATTCTCTCTGAACGAAACAGAGAAAGAAGGAACAAGGAAGAAGAGAAGAAGCAGCAGAAAAAATAGTAAAAGGAAAATAAAGAGAGAAGAGTTGAGTGAAAAACAGTTTGGCACACTTTTTGATTTACGCTAAAGCCAACAGACACAAAGGGAAGCAGACAAATATACAGAGAAATAGTGGGCTCGTAAAAGAGCCACAAGAGCTACGCGATCCCGTGGTGATGCCAGCATATCGTTGCGACGAAAGAGGTCGTGATTCCTGGCCGAAAGTCGAGACACGGCCATTTTAAACGTCGCGATCGTTTGCTGAGCATCCTCCAGGCTCATCACGACCCGGCGGCTTGTTATTTTTCTGTCGTGGCCCGTTTGTCATCTTTATAGCTACTAGCTGGCACTGTATCGCGCTGGTATTAGGTGGAACAGGCTGGATGCTCGCACGGAAAGGATATCCCGGACCAGCAGCGCTAACCTGCACCGTGATATATCAGGCTTGGATTAATCGACCAGACTATCGGCGTTCTTCTAGCTCTTCCGCTTCTATCTTCTTCTCGTGTCCGCCAGATCCTTTGGCTTATGAACTCATCGCTTTATTGCCCCCGGATAACGTTCCACGAATGAATCTTTCATTTCGTCGCTGGATCCTGTGTCGCTGACTCTATTCGTTCCCTTTCCTCCGCGTTTCCAACGAAAATTTCGTTATTTTCCCACCGCCGAGGTCCAGGCAAGTGCGACCATCATCAATCCTTGCTTCGCGTTGGCAGGATCCATTTTGATCCAAACGCGCAGCGCGTCGACGAACGCGAAATGAAATTTCCTACTCTGTCCAGCTATCAACTTGTACGTATGAAAATTCGAAATTATTCTTCGACGTAAAAATAATCTACGTCGTTTTGACTGTTTCTAGACTTAGAAATTCCATATTCGAGGATTCGTATTATTCCTGAAATTATCGATTCGCTATTGGAAAGTATTCGAAGCTTCGCAAAGCGTGCGATGCACTCTAAAATTCTACGATTTTCCCCAGATTTTCCAAAATTTTCTCGCAATTTTCCCGACATTCCGCGTTTTTCCTTCGACTTTCCCGCATTTTCCGCAATTTTCCGCAATTTTCCTGCGACTATCCTGCGATTTCCTCGTGATTTTACCGTAACTTTTTCTCGCGATTTCATCGTGACTTTTCCTCGCGATTTTACCGTGACTTTTTCTCGCGATTTTACCGTGACTTTTCCTCGCGATTTTACCGTGACTTTTTCTCGCGATTTTACCGTGACTTTTTCTCGCGATTTTACCGTGACATTTTCGCGATTTTATTGTGACTTTTCCTAGCGATTTTACTTTGACTTTTCCTAGCGATTTTACCGTCACTTTTACTCGCGATTTTATCGTCACTTTTCCACGATTTTACCGTAATTTTTCCGCGATTTTACCGTGACATTTTCTCGCAATTTTACCGTGATATTTCCTTGCGATTTTATCATGACTTTTCCTTGCGATTTTACCATGACTTTTCCTCGCGATTTTACCATGACTTTTCCTCGCG